TATGCGAGTCCCCATGTAGAGTACGCGACCCAGACTTGGCAACCCTGGTTAAAACGCGACCTGGTCGCACTGGAGAACACACAGCGACGGGCAACGAAAATGTGAAGGGATTGTCCTACCTGCAATACCATAAGCGACTGAAAGCCCTGGGACTGTACAGCGGAAGATATCGTCGTCTACGGGGTGACCTCATCCTGGCGTTCTATATTTTGAAAAATCCTGGTCACGCTTGCCGCCACCACTTGAAGCTTAGCTGCAACACAGAAATGAGGGGTCATAAATTGGAACTTGTCATCCAATACAGTCGGCTGGAGTGCCACCGGAATTATTTTTACCTTCGAGTTTGTCAACCGTAGAACGCTCTTTCGACTTGTCATTTCTGCGCCCAGTCTAACCATTTTTAAGAAACGACTCGACGATGCTATACATCACCTACAGTACTAGAGTTGATTTCTGTTCACTGAGTGACGACAAGACGCAGACAAACACTGTGCCCACCAACCCCACAAAATCGGCTTACACGGGTATACCTATGTGTTAACATGGATAATATGGTTAGTCCACAGATGTGTTCTTTACTTTTGTGTAACCTCAATGAACTGACGTTATTTCCACAAACCATCCCATGGGAATTGTCAAGTTTTGGCTTTTTTATCCTTATTATACCCTTATTCCATCTATGCGGCAGCGAATTATGGTCAGTGTACAGGAAATATGCCAAATAACTGGAGCTGATTCAGTGCATCGGTTGCTGCGACACAGTTACAGACGCAGAAGCGGTGCGCCGCAGTGACGTGTATGCAATGGACTGCATATTACTTGCGCGACACCTGTGGTGGAGCATGTATATCAGTCTCATGGATTCGACGCGGATGCCTAAGCAATTGTTATATCGAAAACTTAGTGCAGGGAAGCGGCACTTGGAAAAACCGAAGTTACGTTACCAGGATATGACCACGGTGAGATTATCACAAACTAATCTTGATTTCAAATATTGGTACTCAAAAGCAGTTGATTGGCGTGAAATGCGTGGGCTGTTCAAGGGGAAGGTCGACTAGGTGCGAAAGGAAGCAATTTTGCATGCGGAAAGAAAACGCCGTTTATGAAAGCGACAGGAGCCGATAGATTCTATCCCAGCGACGTCAAGAACATAGGGCTGTAGCACACGCGGTTGCGAGTGTCTGAACTAAGCAGGTCTGGGATGCCATCAGCATGGCCGTGCTGTCAACATGCAAGAGACGACGAGTCAGCTGTATAGGCAATCATCATCAGAACATCGCTTGGTAAGCATGCTTCTTCCGATTCCATTCCGTTTACTCACCCAGGTCGATAATGCGGTCAGTGTGGTATGTGTGCCGCATCATCGCTGCAGTTAATCTAGACACATGTGCTCCTGCGTGTTGAATTTCTTGCATTTCAGAGCTTGGTTGTTGATTGATATACCAGGTGTGACTGTGCTTGATGTGAACGTTGACAAAGTGCCTGCCTATCTCTTACTCACCACCTCGTCTATACTGGCTCCAGGAACTAGTTGATCTTTGGTGGAGGGGACGGTGTACACAGTCCTCGTGACCGTGCTAGTCACAATATGTGCTTCCATACACTCAGGATGCAGCGGGCTACGGCCCAGCAACCGCCTTATATACGTCTGGTACATATGATCACCCAGTTAGACATGTATGATGTTGTTGTGCATGTTGAAGGAGTTTGGGCCGAGTCATAGGATGAAGCGTGGCTCCCATCTACATGCCACCCGCACTTGTTCCTTCGGATATGGGATGCGTGGATGAAGCTGTGGGTGGTGCGGTGTAAGTCGCCCATGGTCCTTCTGTTAGGCGCAGGCGTCCTGTAGCCGCCCGATCGAGCCGCAGCGACAGGCAAATCCGGAACTGGTGGCGGCCAACCATATCATCATATCTTAATGGCTGCCACCAGTTAGTCCGTCTAGGTGACTATCTCTGTTATCCACATTCCATCACTGGTGCCCGGTTCATTACTGTTCCTGCTCTATATCAATGACATCACCGTGTGCAAAAAACCTGTCCTGCCCCTTTTTATCCGCCAACGGTATCAAGCTCAATCACAACCTTCAACTTGACGAATTTCATGGAGCGCCGTCACTCATTCCAAATGACGTATATTCCCTGGAGGCATGGTGTTACTCGTTGCTGATGAATCTTCTGGCTAAAATATCAAGCATCAAGTCTTGGGACTGTTTTTATTCCAGATGGATCTACTGTACTCAACAATGAGCATGTCTTTGTACACCTGTTCACTCGCGATCTCAGAATCACTTACTTAACGACTTTTAACTTCTCCCAACATGTCCAATGCCAAGTAGTACGTGCCCGACAATCTTTGACTAATATATCTGACAAAATCCACACAATTCGTGCTAGAGTTAAGCTGTTTAAGATGCTCATCGTCCTCATCCTCGAGTACTGTGGCACCGCATGAGAAAACATGCCAAGAAGCGACAGAATTGCTCTGGAACACCTGTAGTGGTCGTTCACTAAACACCTGATTGGCAAGCAATCCTCTATGAATACTTGTGGACGTTACAAGAAACGTCCATTCGAGCCACTTCGGATGAGACGATTGAGGTACAACTAGTTGCTGCTTTACAACTTGCTACGCGAAAATACTCCGATCTGCCTACCCTCACACTGCAGCATAGCACAATTCAGTAACACCACAATAAAGGTTATATACTGGTTATGCCAACGGCTAGAACAAACATGCGCCAGTTTCTTCCTGGTCAGATATACCTAACTGTGGAATAAACCGCCAAATACACTCACAGCATGTGAAAAGACGGTAACATTGTGACAGACTCGCAAGTTACCTCGACCTGAATACTAGGTAAATACTAGGTGAATAATAGCTGAACTATTCGGCTGGCTTGCCGAACAACCTCCTCGTGGTGCCAGCTGGGTGGTTCGGGATTTTCCCGTTCCAGCAAATGGTTCGGCGGCAGTGTTCCAGGACGTGGTGGGTTTTCGCCTGGTAAGCGTTCTTCCTATAAAAAGCCACATATGTTCGTTTAACAACACTGTGACGTGGCGGATGTAACTCGCCCCTAAATAAAGTCACTCCCCCTGGCTTCATCCTGGCGAAGCATTGTGTTCTAGCAACATCATGCTGTACTTCTGGGGAGCATTGGGCCCCTGTTTGACAAAGGAACAAACGAAAGGCGTATGAACTGAGCAATCAGTCACCGGCTCCCAATGGGCGCGATTCCCTGAATTCGCTCCGCTGCCTTGCGGACAGGCTATTCAGCCAAAAGCTCGGGGTGTTGTCCCCTAAGTCAACACCCCACTTCGGCTTGGGCAACCGGGTAGTATCTCGCCCTCTGAAGAAACCATGGACATTGTTGTGTTGTGTTTTATTTTACTGTTTCTGTACCTTCGTTTGAATCCCATGGTTTCTGATGGCTTGTCTATTCCTAGACTTTTGCAAATAGATATATATATATATATTCCAAGAAGGGTCCAAAAAGTTTCAACACCCATGTTCCCAAACTTTGGCTTTCGCTTCAGCCATCCAGCAGATCGCTATAATTCATCTGCAAGCCGGTACAAATCATTTCATTCAGAAATAACCGGGCAGTCGAATATCTGAGAATATCCGTAGTTTGGGATGTGCATGTGGGTTTTGCACTGCTCTCCGGGCTGAATGATTATTTTTCAGACGTTTCGCTGCCAAACTAGGCAACATCGTCAGTGCGTCTTTAAGGTCCTGTTTCGCCGAGCATCGTGATCGACTTCAAGATCTAAGCGTTTTTTGATCGTTCTGCTTTGAATACCAGGCTTCAATAAACTCACGTGCTTGCCGACTAATAGCTCTAAGTAGGACAAACAAGAAGAAAGTTTGGCACACGGCAACATAAATATAGCCTAGTCGTCCACCGTCATGATAAGAATTCTTTGACGTCCGTACATATAAATGCTGGATACCACCAGTTCGACCTGGAGAACGCTAAAATCCTCGGAAAAGTCAATAGCCGGCAAACTTGATCGATCAACAGATCTCTAAGTCGCATACGAGGCACTGCAGAACATGACCATAAAGCCGCACTGACGATTTTCCCTAGTCTGGCAGCGAAACGGCTGCAAACTTATCATTCAGCTCGGAGAGCAGTGCAAAACCCACAAATAGAACAATGGTTAGACAGCAAATAGTTCACCGTTGTCCCATTCACACAAATCGATTGAGGGTTGCGTATTCATAATGCCTGAACCAATATCAAGGTGACGGTTAGTGCTTGATAGCTGTTTGTCCAGGGCAGATAAAAAGAACGAACAAATGTTTTTTCTCTTACATGAAATTCATGCCTCAATATTCCACATATGCTTACCACTCATGAAAGACCACGGTCACTTCCGTCCATATTGATTTGTGTCGCCGCAGACGTCATGTCTCGAATCAAAGGACATGTATACAATATTATTTTCTCTAAAAGGAGCAAATATCCGCTGCCACTTGGCAACACAGGACCATTAATTCACCGGTCTGTAGCTGAGCGAATGCATGCTCAGATAAATGGCATGTTTTAGTGCATATTGGCTAAGGTTCAGATGGCTCATATCACCATCGATGGAGTTCAATGCAGTTTATTCGCCCTTACACTCTGTCTACAACGGAGATTTTGTCCTTCCAGTCCATTCGTCCATCCTCGGAAAAGGACATAAATCACTACCTTAAAGCAACGACCAAGTTGCCATGTTTGGTGGCGCGTAAACCCACGCCCCTGCGTTTTCTGCCGTATTATCGCGAAGTTATAACAGACGCGGGAATTGCTTCAGCCGGGTCATCCACTTTCACCTGGTGCTACCCCATACTGGCGGCCAGTCGTTCGTAGACAGCCTGTGTGACCGAGAAGTAAGCCCGATACAATTGATTTTTCGTGATTTTTCGCCATAACTCACTGTTGCATGTCAGCAGTAGAATAGTCATCGAGATCACTCGCCCTTCCACGCATAATGAAACAACATTATTTGGCTGATGAAACAGTGCAATGCAGCTTGAGTTTTTGGGTCCAGTGAACCAATGCCTGGATCACACTATACATAGAACATTTTCAATTTACCTATCGTCAGTGCCATAAATGACCAAAGATTCTTGAGTCTGCTCTTGTGCATTCATTCCGCGATCACACCAACGCATGGAGCCGGGAGCGGAACGCATCACGGTGTGACCGCTTTGCATTGCACTTAGATCCTCAGTTAAATGGGAAGAAGGCATCTTATTCCGGTATGGGTGCCTGTGACTTGGAAGCTCGTGTTCGTTAGACGGCGCGAATTGTTGCTGTGAATGAAAGAGCTTATCCGGAACATTGCGATTTCGAGCAGCTTTGGCATGCTTTTCCAGAACTCCCGCTGAGCATGCTGTGTTTTCCGCCTCCTTCTCAGTTGCTCCTATAGGTGGCTTCGTTCCCGGAACATTAGATAGAACCTGAAATAAACGAAGTAGATTGTATCCTAACAGTATGTCGGATAGGCTTCTTCGAAAGCTTGGTCGTATTAAGGAATGTAGAAAAAAGGCTGAGCATATAGTAGGAAACGGTAAATACCACTTAGTGATCAGAATCCGCTCTAAGTAAGTTCATCTCTTCATCGTTCACCTTAGTGTTCTGTACTATGTCTTCAGTTATCCCCGTAATTTAATGCGAGTAAGAATGCGCTTTTTTCCTAACCAAGTTTCTACTGCTCTGTGGGTGAAGGGAACAAACTGTGCTATCCTGGGGATTAGTGAGTCACTTGACCTAGCAGTATGGAAAATGCAGCCAAGCTGTGCGCTTCATCTTCCGCTACTGGTGCTTGTATCAGATTGGGCAATGACCTTACGTAGATCCAAGTGTTGAGGTGCAAGATCCCTTTTAAAATATTCTAAAGACAGTATTGCCATTGTTAAGAAAGGCTGTCGTTGATGCAGTGACCAGGCTCTGACCCACACCTTGAAGATAAACTATGTCTATTTTCCACTCAGTTGCTTGCTCACATCTGCTTTGTGGTTAACACAATTATCGGGACGCTGAGAAGTGGCTCGTGCACATGCTTTGTTGCAGGTAGTAACAACAAATTTTACCTCCGGGATGTGGCTACTTCCAATTTTTTATATACACACAATGCATAAAAGTTAAAATACACACAGCTGACTCCGTTGTCCTATAAAAAGTAGAAACTTGTGGTGCTAGGGGAATGAGTTAACTATTCGCCACATTTAGTGAGACAGGTCCCTTGAACAGCCTTTGCACCACGGTTATGTTAGAAGATGTCACTCCGCAAAGAAAATATGTTCTTATTTACTCTAGATGTGAACTTAGAATTACGGTATAGAACATCGCAGTCATTGCGGTGATTATAAATGCATCACAGAAGGAATATGGACAATCACTACTATATTCGTCGAAGTCCTCTGTCCCACTGTGCATACACAGGAGCAGCCAACCTCGCTACAGCTAACATTGAAACCTAGCTATTCTGTTGCTTCATCCAGCCGCCTTTATTGTCCATCCTATCGGACCACCCACCTTGTGGGTTTGTAGAATGTGATGATGAACTTACTCACCATCCATCACTGTTGACATCTTACACTTTAACACTACTAACAACAGCTAACTATCATCAGACCGAACATCCAACGGCAACTGTGAGATGTGATTAACTGTTTTTCTTGTGCGTTGTCAATGCGTTGGACAGAGAGCGCTTTGAAATGCAAGCAACTTATCTTCGTTACTGTAAAGGCGAATAAAATGAGGGTAATCTCGAAACTCCTGCTCAAGTACCCGTATCACACTATCGGATGGGTCTACGTGACAGAAGTAATTATATGTATATCGGCTCGGTGAAGAGTGTGTTGCATTGGTAGCCTTAGGTATTATTACAACGTTAGAATTAACATGATTTATACAAGCATACGCCGTTCTGGTTTGGCAGCATGCCGAAACCATATAGCTCTTCTTTGATTAGCATCTCCCTTTTCAAGCATCGCTTCATTGCCTGGAGATTCCGAGTACGTTCATACTCTTTCCGTTTAGTTTTAAATGAAGCCAGCAAATCTCGCAGTTCAGCAAGGTACAAGTCGAAGTTCCTTTGCTCAAGTTTGTCGGTGCGTGTGCGCTCATAAAGGGTGCTCATTTTTGAACGAATAGCAGAAATCTTCACTGGTGGATTGCTCCGGCTCTCGAGAGCATTCCTTAGATCTCTGATGATTTCGCAGCTGTAACATCTTGAAGGACTAATTTCATTGGAATCGAAGCTTGAATCCTTTACGACTTTTGACCATTGTACTGGTGTTCCCTCAGCAACAGGAGGCACCCCAGCGGATGGAATGTCATATGCAGCGAGGACGAGCCATGCTTTCTTCCTCGTCGGAAAATACACGCCCTGAAGGTGGGGGAGCAGCGAGAAAATGAACACAGTTAGCAGTTACCCTCCAAGGATGAGCGTGCAATTATCTACTTGAGGTTAGGCACCACATAATGGACTATGGAATTTTCCACCGCATGGAATTCAACCAGTTGCATACCCATAAAAAACAGTTGGTATTTATGGGAGTGTATAAGCAAAAATAAGAAAAGGGATCTTAATCAGGCCCGGGATCTTATAGAATATTTTTTCATCTGTTACAGTTACCGATCCGTTCAATTGTTCCCACCAGAATACGCGCGTGTTTGCACCTGATCTCTGACACTGTGTGCGTTTATATGTGAGTCCTAATCTTGTGGGTCAGTCTCATGTCAGGTCATGTAACACTATCACTGACTCCCTTTAGCGTCTCAGTGATTAGGCCTATCATGTTCAAAACTACGTAACGCAGTGTAGTGCATGTGGTATGTGACTAGTTCTGCGCCAGCTCACTTGCCGCGTTCAGAATGTACGGGCATTCTTGACTTCATCAATAACCGGTCCTGCATCAGATTATTTTTCTATCCCTACTTTCAACTTGCGCTTTTGTTAAATCGTTATTCCTAGTGCAAGATATAAACGCATCAGATCCGTGGTGACAATTGCTGCATATACCCGCTCACATACAACTGAGATCCCATGCCCATGTAAGTTGTTATCTCTCTTGATTAGTAGTGAAGGAACAAGCTTAACACTGCTTTAAGCGTTAACTTGCACATGCGGCAATTACAGCTGACTCATGGAACACAAAGCAAGTTAGCCGACGTTCGAACACGCTTGCTCGAAACCAATTCATTCTAACTTGTCGCCAGAGTGGCTGAGGGTATGACGCTGATACACACACACGATCGCTCTAACATACATATCGGTACGTGTGAATACAATATTGTAAAGGGTATAACTCTAGGTGTCTGTGCACTTGAAAGCATTTTAGCAATAGTCCAAACTGCAGATCCAAAAGGCTGAAAGGAAGCTAATCTTAATACAGCAGTTTCCCCGTTGTCCTCGTTATAAAAAACAACCGATGGGCCGAGAACCGGGCCGAGAAAAAGCGTTGCTGGATGTGCACAAACAAAATCAACACGCAGTTCTGAATTTCGCACCGATCCTCTAAGTGTAAAATGAGGCAGTACTTTTAGTTAGAATGTTACACAACGGGCTCAGAAAAGCCGTGAAAACCTCCTAACTGCTGCAGATTCTTCCACCGTATGTTCGATGCACTAAAATACGTACCCACTGACCCCTATTTCATTGGGTTCTTTTAGGAGGGATCCGCGGTGAACCTTCTGCGAGCGCAGCACTTGCCGCGTTCAGATGCGCCGTCATCCACGTATGATTTAGCATATATTCATGCGTTTCGCACGAAAACGGTAGCAGTATATTCGTCAAATCAAGCAGAGTTGTCAGCAACTTAAATCCGCGATACCTAACCAGTCTTCAAATTAGCTGGCTGATTCATTCGGGAAATGACACAAACGTAAATATTGGGCGGATTAATCCGAAAACTACCTACGGCGCAATGTACACCGCATGCTACTGAACAATGTAAGCGCTGTAAACCTATACCTGCAGTCACTTGTCCTTTTCGTCGCATTAACACAACTGTGAATTCCAGGTAATTCACTTGATACACGGTTTACACCTTTTCCCAAACAAATGCATCCAGAGTACAGTCGGAATGCTTTATCGGAATTCATTCTCCTCCCATCAGTGGGCAAGCCTCAAACATGCCTGCGTCCACTTCTCCAAACATAGACGCTTCACTTGGAGATTCAGCCATGACACCGATAGCTCACAGCCGAAGGAAATCCGGTGCAGATAACAAGCAGGTAACGTACGCATCGATTGCATCGACAAACACACCAGGAGCGACACGTACAAGTTCATCTTCAGTACCGAGCACGCGTGGCGCAAAGCAGCTTTCACTGTCAACTCCAGTGGTGCCCTCTAAACAACCTGAATTGCCGGCAAAAAGTATAAAGCCAACACTCGCTAGACAAAACCACGCTGCGCTAACTCTCGTGTGCACCAATGTTCCCGAATCCAAATCTGGCACAATAAAAGGCAAGTTGCAAGACGATCGCAACCAGTGGAGTTCCATCTGCGAGGCGATTGGGATTCGGGTTGAGCCTGCAATGCTGCAACGCGTAGCACGTCACCCGACCTCAGTGCACTCTGGTGAACCTCGAATTCTTCGAGTAACACTAAACTCAGCAGATGAGACAGAGGCCGTCCTGCTCTCAGCAGTTCGTCTTCGCAACTCACCGAGCGGAGTACGCATATTACCTGATCTACCTTGGAAAGACCGCGCAAAAGAAGCAGTGGAGCAACGCGGTATTGCTACTAGGGATAGCAAGAAAACAACATTTGTTCATGGTGTTCCCGAGCTCCTGCATGCTTTTGATCACGATGCACAAACACATGACCGAGAGCAGTGGTGCTACATCCGCGAAGCACTCTCTGTTAACCATGTTATTGCCAAATCCCTAACTACAAGCGCTGCGGTCCAAGGCTAATGAAGGTAATACTACACTCCGAGGGTATGACGCAAGTTCTGTTGGATAGCTGGTTAAAGTTTCGAGCTAGGTTGCCAACAGAAATACGGCTAAAGGCAGCAGGCGAACGACCAAAAGTCGGAAGAAATTCGATGGAACTTGCAAACCCTGCAAATTCCTTATTTGCACAGTGCTTCGGAGAGACCGACACAACAGCGCCCACGTCACACAGGAGGACCGAGCACAGCACGAGTGAACCATCAGTTCAGGAACGCTCAATAATGTCATGCAACACGACTGAAATACACAAACCAAAAAACGATTAATTGCCGGCCACCTAACGGCCGGCTTAAAAGCGAACACAAACTTGACATCCACCAATGAACTCCTAACCACAAAAGCCCTATCTTGCATGTACACAAACGCTCAAGGCCTTCGAAGCAAGTTGGCCGAACTTAGAGAACTCCATGCCTCACAACCGCGGGACCTCGTCATGGTTACAGAGATC